AGATGGCAGATCCAGAATCGTGACTAAAATAGACCGTCATCAAAAAATTTTTAATAAGGCCATACGGCATAAAAAAATAGACACTTTAACGAAAATTTTAAGACCTTTTGAAATATTTTACCTCAAAAATTGAAATGAGCAGAAGGGGTGGCCGTTTTGACAGAGAATGATCCATATATATATATATATATATATTCTTAGATGTTATCACTTTAAAATGTCTTGTAAGTTTAAATGACATTCGTAATTGTCTGAAATCGTCTCTAAGAATTTGTTTCTGTTTTATAATATTCTTCGAATATCCTCGAAACTAGTTCTGCGATGCTATGTATAGAAGACACGTTACAGAAAAGGACGTCAAAGGACAGAAGGAGGACAGTCTGATATCAGTACCGGTACCAGAGACTACCTAATTTATTCCGATATCGGCTCGCGCGCGCGGTGACGCCAGCCTATATGTATACACAGAAAGATCTTGCACAATCTCCACGTCATCCTTGTAACTTCATTTTCGTCTCCTCCTCTTTTGACTTCCTCCCCATTAATTAGCTTTACTTGATTTTTATTTGTTCGCTTGGTATTATTCTTATATAACATAGAAAACTAAAGTTATATATTTGATAATATTATCAAAATACGATATTGATATTATATCAATATTAATTAATAAAATATATAATTAAAATAAATACACTGAGAAAAATGTTTTGATTATATCAAGACATATATGGTAGAATGCATTTTAGTGAAACCAAACAGATAATTTCTGGTTATCATGATTGGACTCGATATTTTATAGCTAAAACGTTTGACAGACTTCTTATAAGGATTTGATTAGTATTTTTGATTAAATCTATAAAACTTCAAGTTATATTCACTCTAGATGTTTTCACTAAAAAATTATATTAACTAAGTACATTTAAATAAATTTAAAGGAATTAGGGCTCGTCAAGAATGAATCAACAATGATAAAGTAACGCCAACACGGATGTTGATGTGTAATAATTTTTACAATATCCAGCCATACGTAAACTAACTCTTTGCCGTATTTTTGTCGATCTTGAAACATAGTTCTTTACATGGCCAGAAGCCATTTGTAACGAATTAATTGACTAGCAATTAATCTCTTGATATGACTAACATGTATTGACTGCTAACATGTATTTATAAGAATCTCCTCCCCCTAAAATAATACTAAATTTTAGTATTATTATCAAGAAATTTTATTTAACAAGACTGAATTAATTTATTCAACTTTTTTAAATTTATTTTTTATATCGAATCATTGCAGGTTATTATCCCAATCTACTTTTTATAACAATATCCTTACTTGCTATGCTGATTTGTCAATGTGTTTTATTTTACATTATCCGCTGTATTTTTCTTGCTTTACATTCATTATTTCATTATGTATATTTTCATTTAGCAATAAATTATTATTTTTTTGGGCAATTTATTAGTTTGTTATTTTGTCTGTATACTATATATAGATTATTATCTTATTTCTATTATATTATAGGCTTATAAGACTTCAAGACAGCATTATAATCACTTAATGTCTCACTTTTTGAGGCGCATTTTCTTTTCTATGTTATGCTGTATTTTAACTCGAAAATCTCTTGTTAATTGCATTTCAATAAAGTTATTATTACTGTTGTTGTTGTTATTATTACTATTATTATTATTATTATTATTATTATTATTATATTAGTAGTAGTAGTAGTAGTAGTAGTAGTAATAATCTCTAAAAAATGCTTACCAGGTAATTTCTAGAACAATTTTAATTTGTTCATTTTCCAATAGATGTACTGGTTAAATTTATCAAGTTTCTAATTGATAACACAATTTACATAGCCATTCTTTTTCCAGTGTAAAATTTATTAAATCATTATATTATAAATTAGTCGTCAATGTCATTTACTTAGAACATATACTATTGAAAGGAGAATTGTCTATACCGTTCGTGTATCAAGCTGAAGCTAACATCTGTGCGAGAGAGAAAGATATAGATTCCCAATTAACTGTAATGCGCATGTGCCATTCAACCCTCACTTAGTCCCGTTTTTCATTTTTTTTGAAAAGATTTTCGAAAAATAAAAAATCAGGCAAAACGGGCTGAGTGGAGGCTGAATGGCACATGCGCATTCGGAATTACAGTCAATTGGAAACCTATACCTTTCTCTCTCGCACAGATGTTGGCTTCACGTTCAGCACTCAATTCTCCTTCCAGTAATACCTATATGTTTTAAAGTCATTTACTGCTTAAAAATGTGACAACTCTCATATTTATTGAAACATAGAATCGACTTATCGAATTGATGTGTACAATTAAAAGTTAAAAAAATTTTGATTCGCTAAACAGAAATATATTCACATTTTATATATGCGAGTATCCTAAGTTTGATGAGAATCTCTTCACAATTTCTTGCGCGACGTAAGTACAGTCAGACTTTTATATCTTTTATTTATCGTGACCAAGTAATCAGCTTCTTTATTTGTCTTATCAAATATTAAAATAGTTCATCCATCAAACCATTAGAGCATGAATGATCTCAAGTGGAAGAAACGCGAATCAATCGAAGAGTTATTATTCTATCTTTTAACACTTGGCAAATTTTTTTACATATAGGTACGATTTTTTTCTCAGATTTTTCGCATTTCGCTCGTCGTGAACCAATGCAAAATAAAATATAATCACCGCTTGGGTTTTAAGTCGATAACGTTTTAACCAATCGCAATTCAACAAACAAAATGTCAGAAACCAGAATCATTGTCATCGTCGACTCGTTTTCCTTGCGGTCTGACCACAGGAAGGAAGTCGGGAACACGAGAGATCGTCCGTTTAATTTCTTTCCGTGGGAAGTCGCTCTCGCCTTGTAGAAACTCGACTCAAAATTATAAGTATATTGAATTCGTTATATTATTGAATATGCATTAAATTCACGCACAAACTCGCGTTAAACTTTATAAAAACATTATCCTAAAAATATAGTACCTCTTGACAAATATCTCCATATAATTTACATTATTTAATGAACTAAATAATGGAAGAATTTCCTGTTCGCTTCGTGAACGGGAAATCCATGAGATTAAAATACTTGAGAATTCAGCCATCGCTAAACCGGAAGGAATGCTCCCGTATATCCGCTTGTGTACAGCAGTTGCGCGTTTCTGCGCCCATCCTCGCCACGTACACGAGCGTGTGGTACGGGGATTCACAACCGGATTCGACACACTTCCAACCGAGTGAACTTGACGCGGACCGAGTTTCGAATGATTAATGCGAGCCCGATTGGCGGCTGTGTCCACTTTACCGTGTTCTCTCTCGCACAATTGCGTGAAAGGCCAGAACGTCAAGTATTCCAACCCGGAAGCGTGCCTTCAAGAGTGCGCGCGGTTCACCAAACACCGGTCATTCGACTGCGATCGTTCGGACACGTTCCTTCGTCTCGCACAAACGAAGCACCTAATTAAACAATGCTCGTCAGATATTCTCAACGTATCTCGAAAAATTTTTCTTTAGCAGAAAATCGAGAAAGAAATTATAAGTCAATCGCGTCGCGCAATTTTTTTTGATTTAGTGAATAGGTTTAGTAGAATTAGATTAATAATAATATTGAGAATTTAATTATATATATATATATATGTATATATATATATAATAAATTGATTTAATAAACATATAGTATAGTACATTTAGTATAGTAATATATGTTTTTATAAATTTAATAATTAAATTAGTTTTAAGAATATTATTATCAAATTATACTATACCTACTATATTAATTTATTATAAAGCAAATTTAGTAAAAATTCAATTAAATTTGCTTAATTAAAATCTATAAGAAATTTAATTAAATTTTTAATAATAGTAAATTTAATAAATATTAAGTTAAATTTAATGTAATTTTTATTAAGTTTCTTATAATTATATCCTTTTCTAAATTCTAATAACAAATTTAATTAGAATTTCATGTAAAACTAATGATGAAGAATATAGTGTTTCGTTATCTTTCTAAATTTTGCTAGAAGCCTTTTCTTACATCGGCATCCCCTTTGTATCATTGTATTTTTTAAATAATTGATATAGAAATTGGCTAGAGAACTACAATTAAAAAGATTAATTCAAAATCATTTTGAAAAACACTTTCAATTCATTTATAAGAACATACATATATACATATACAATATACTTATACTAGGTATAACATTGTTTATTAAATTTTAATTCAAATTTATATGTCACCGTAACTCCAAATGACTTCAAACTCTAAACATTAATTGTTTACCGTATGCACACGATTAATTATATGAGAAATGGTAAGACTTCCATGAGGAAAATTAAAAGTCTGCCAGTCTGTCCCTTTCTATCGTTCGGTTTATTAGCGGTATCGGTCGACCAATTAGCAAGTGACCAATTAGCATTTACCAAGTGAACCTACTCGATGTAAACCGGATGACAGCTAATCGCGAGGATAATTATAGTCACATTTAACGTCAGTCTGATTACGGCGTGTAACATCACGCCACGAGATTGACGATAACGCTTGCGTGCGGCGTGTCGAAATTCGGCGTTGTATCCGGTGTGTAGAGATATAAGAGTGGACTGTAGATCCTCTTTTGTACACAACAGAGAAAGGATTAAGCAGTAGCAAACTTTGCAAGGCGGACGAAAACTATATAGCACCTCTATATTATTCTATTTTTTATTTTCGCTATTCATTTTGTGATAATTGAATAAATTTGTTATTAATTATTTGTATGTATATGACTGATACCCTAGCATGTAATAAAAAAGAAGGGTATTTTTTGGAAATCTGGACCTCTGATTCAGAGTTTGCAGTTTTCAAAAATATAGCGCAATTTCGAATACAAAGCAGATGCGAGAATACAATTATTAAACCATATATACGCGTAATATCTCAAGTACTGATAATGTTCGTGAAACGATGTTCAAGCATGACTTAAGTACTGAATGATCAAGGAGCTAAAACACGTACTTTCCAAAAATGACAGCTTTTTGTTCGAAAGAGTTTTCCTTAAAGGAAAAGCCTCAGATGACCTAGGGTCCAAGCATTTAAACACATTCCACGATTCAAAGGATTTAAATGCTCTCGACACCATTGCCCAGAAGCGCGAGAATTTTGCGATCGATAGTCAGATCCGGCAGGTTTACCTTTCCAGCGACCGTCATCTCGTCCGTGGATCGCGGAGCGTAGATCCTTCTCACGTAACAAGAATCGCGCTCAAACGGGAGCGGTGGTAACGAAGCAAGTTGCACTTTTCAATGGCCGGTCGGGCGACGGCGACACATTTCTCGACGAATCACCACGCACCAACACACTGACTGTTAGATCACGTATCACTAGATCCCTGGAAATATCCTGCGCCGTATACAATATATGTCTAATTTTTTTTCTCTTTCTCAATCACGCTGCGTTGATCGACGAGGCACAACTGCGCGTGGACAGCGGACGCGAGCGCGAACTCGACAACTCACGAGACACATCCAATCGCGGCAGCGGCCAATGGGTGAATGGAGCGCCGAGCGATCGCGCGCGACGAACCTCCCACCACATCGTCACCACTGCCATTGCTGCGCATCGAGGTGGCGCTGACCGCTCTCCCTTCCCCGTGGGTGACCCGCAATAGGACTTCGCTCAACCGCTCTCGTGATTGTCACAGCGGCCACGTGATTTCCACCTGTCAGGGCCGTGCGTGGAAAGGGAGATATAGTACAATTTTCGGGATTCTTTATCAATTTATACATATGTTTAATTTTCAAAAAATCTCACATTTTGAAAAGAGACGCGATTCGAACAGATAAAATTGAAAAAAGTCGAATGTAGTATTTCAAATCGAGTACCCTTCTTTTCCTTAGATAAAATTTTTTAAAAGAAATCACAACGGAAAACATCTATAATAACGATTATACATACATTAATATACACATATTAATTAATTCATTTATTAATATATTAATCAAATCAAAATATAATGTAATAATTCCAATGTAAACTAATTATCGATTAACTTTCTAAAAAAAGGATGACTACAGGCACTACAGCAAAATCGAATTTTATATTTTAAGATATTTTTTCGTTAAAATATCTATTCCTTTTAAGATATAATATTCCATTACTTTTTATCTTATGTTTTTTAATTTTTTTAATTGGATTTTTTATTCTTAAAAAATTATTTTCTTTACTTATTTACTTTCTTTTTACTGTTTTTTTAATATTAGACTTATTTTGTTATTAATTATAGATTTAACTTCGCTTAAATTCGTTTTTAATCGTATATTCCGCAATATATAAGTTTGTAGGAATAATTGCATGAAAATTAATAAGTAATTCTTTATTAAATTGAATTTTTACGTTTCCATTCGTTATTCCTGAGGCATATTTCTCAATCCTACTTGAATTGCGATAGTTGATTAGAATTCAAGACTTCTTACACGCTTTCTATATTTACTTCGCCATTTTCCCTGCCCTCTCTCCTTCCCTTTCATCATCATTTTCGAAATATCATTGTCATTTTCGTAAAATACGAATAGCTGCAATTTATGATTATTAAACACAGTAATTAGTAGGTACATATTCTCGTTTTGAAAACAATTCTTTAGTTTAAAGAGACTTTCGCGAATATATAACCAACGTGTGACGGGCCAATCGGCCGCGTACTCTGCTCGAACGCTCCCGCGAGGGAAGAGGCGGCTCGGGTCTTTGACCGTTCACCGTGAAGCGCTTGGGCAGGTGAGAATCCTCGCAACCCGGATAACGTGCACGCACGCAGGCACGTACATACGTATACGCGTGCCGCTGCTCGTCCCCCCGGCGTAGAGTAGGTCCGTCAGTCGATACGTACGTCCGTTCTCTTTGCAACCAACACAGCAGTGAAGGTGAAGAGAGGGAGGGGACACACACTCACCGCAGATGCATACCCGGATCCGAATATCGTTCTGGGATTGGTCCTTGAGCGACGAACATCAGTACCGTAGCTTTGTGATTTTCACAATGATGACGATTGATTTTGCGATATCCGAGTAGGAGTTGAAATCAACGCTCAATTGATTTTCGCGCGATCAAAAGTAATACGAACTTCAAGATCAAACTTCAAACTAATCTGATTGTCGAACTTGAAATAAAACAATTCGAATTGTTTGATCTGTTAAATCCGATTTCAGAGCAGATAAAATCTAGTGTTTAGTTGCTTATTACGCAACAGTGAACACTATTTTCATATAAGTTTTCTTTAAGGCTCGAACTATTAAAAAATTAATACAATTGAATATTTGACTTGCGATTTACTATTAGCTGATCCGTTTAAATTGTCCTAACTTCGAATGTCTACTAATTCAAACTGTTCAATTTGTTTTTGTCCGACTTCACGACAGGTAAAAATTAGTCATTTCGTTTGCTTGCAATAAATATTATTAAATAAATATTGAGTGCAGTCATGACACTTCAAATGTTTTGGAGCATCTGAGTAACTAATCAGAAAAAATGTTACTATCAAAGAATGCTTCATAATAACATTTGTAGCATCAAGTAAATCGTAATCATTTTCACTCAAAAAAATTTTTTTAACTATTTAAATTTTAAATAGTTGAATGCTTGACTCAATTAATTTTTAATTCCCCGTTCGAACTATCCGAATATGTCTATTTCAAATTGTTCAAACAATTTAAACTTTTTGAGTCTTGAAATATTTTAATTCTCAACTCTTGATATCGAGATACATTTAATCTAGTAATGTCTCTGCCAATTTAACAATTCAATTATAAAATTCACACGCGCACACACACACACACACACACACACACACACACACACACACACACACACACACACACACACACACACACACACACACACACAAATATATATATTTATATATATTATTGAGCCCCAAAACTTGTTTTGTACCATGTTGGCGTTTTTGTATCTCAATTGTTCTTAACTATTTATTTCGTTTATCTTTAATCTTTAAATAGCACATTTGCTAATACAATATATACGAGAATGCTGCAGATTTTTGAAAATGTTCTTAAATGGTTAATGCTAAAATTTGCTTAATAATTTATTATTCTTTTTCTTTAAACTTTAAGTAAATTCGGTAACAAAACTTCGGAAAAGCAATACAAGAATGATTTTCAAACATGTTTTTAAATGTTAAAATTTTCTTAATAATCTATTTATTTTTCTTCTTTAATTTTTTTTTAAGTAAATTCGGTGTAACAATTTAAAACTTCGGCGATGCCATATATAATGGTTTTCGAAAAATATTTTTAAATGCTAAAAATACGATAATAAGCATTACTTTGCTTCTTTAATTAGTAGGGCAAAAAGAACTTTAGCATTAAAATATAACATTAATAATAAACTCGGAGTTGGAACACAAATGAGATGCAGAGTGCATGCAAAGAGGTCAGCCGTAAAGAACAAAAAAAAAAGAGAAAACAAAAATACGTTTTAATCGATGATCGATAATTAGGTCGAGCGGCACCAATCAAACGATGGATCCGCTTTTCTCTCACCCGGATTCTTTCTTCGAGATAAGCGATAATCGATGCCCCATATCGACTAGCTGGCTGTTCAACAGTGACCGCATGCCACCGCATTCTCTTCCTGGTGAACTCGTTTTACGTACTCGCTTTATATAATATTCTTTCTTTCCTTGTACGCCTCTCTCTTTCTCTCCTTTCCTCCCTCCTCCTCCTCTCTTCCTCTGTCGCGTGCAAGAATGAAACATAAGCGTGGTATTCGCAAAATTTCATGAATGAAATTTTTTCATTCGTGTTTCTACACCGTGTATTTACCGACCAACGTTCACAATGGATTATCGCTATTGTCCAAACAATTTGTCTTTGGATCGACGAGGAAATGAGCGGATCTCGACTCGAAGAGCTACTCGGCATACCCGCGCGCTTTTCTCTAACTGTATCTCGGACTTCTTAAATAATTTTCTTAAATAGTTAAACAGTTTGACACAAATGCTTGACACAAGCGCAACGAGCGCAGCTGCATTCTTGTCGCGCGCATACGCGGCGTATCGCGACCCAATTATCATTGCGACGCTCACGCGCGAGCCGAGGTGAGGAGGCCAACGAGAGCGTGAACACAGCGTGAACCAGTTCTGAAGCTGGGAAAACCTCTCGACGATCATGCTTGGATTTAGGATTTACACCGTGAGATATTTTCGATCGGAGATTATCCGGTGAAATGTAGATCGAGATGAAAGAAAAGAAAAGCACGATTTCACTTACGTGTCGAAAATCAATTATTTGCCCAATGATTAGCAATAAAAGATTGGAATAGATGAATCGGTATGACTTAATAATTACAGCTTAAAATTATCGAAGAAACATTGCGCGAATTTTCCTGCGAGAAAAATCCAAATGCGATTTCATTTCACGTTAATCGATAGAAATTGTTAAGACACAAATAATTATAAGAATATGAAAGTTTAACAAAGATTGTATACGGCTACGGTACACGATGAGCCAAAAAAAACGGGAAAATTTAAAAGAATAAAATAAAAATTTAGAAATATTTAACTAATTTTAATTACATTAAAATATAATATATATGCCATTTATGAATTATAACCTTACTCTTTTTTTTATGTATTTCATATCGAGACACTGCTGTGTCGCTTGATAAGCATTACATATCTTGAGAGAAAATGACATTCTTTAAGGATGTTTAGTACCTACAATAGTAGCAAAAAGTTAAAGGACTGATTTTGACGAATATGCTCTTCTCATATAGTTTGAGTAATAAGGATTGTGCAGAATGTTATCATTTATTCAGAACTAGATCGGAAGAGCACACGTCTG